AAAAAGTGGTCTCAAGTACTTATAGACATGTTGTTGTGTTGTCACCTTCGTACTACAAAGCTTCTGTTCACCTAGCGAACATCCAAATGTGGCACTTAAAGTGCCAGTGTACAATTAAACCGTCCTGAGACATTTCAACATATTCGCTGTGCGAACAATCCTTCATACTGTGAAGCCTTTGCTAGAAACTTCGTACATCGAATTCTTATCCAAATACTTACTGCCTCAGATCTGGGGCCATTTGCTAGCACTTCGTTAGGCCTTCGCTCCAGCGAACCATTCGCTATCTCCTTCGTACAACGAGTTCTTATCTCTTTTCTCTCTGTATGAACAGTACCATGCTCTCAAAGGTTTTCGCTGGAAAGTTCGCTGTGCGAACTTGTTGATGTTTTTTCTGGGGAAATTCGCTAGGAAGTTATTTATGCGAACTTGTTGATGTTTTGCTGCTGACTTGGTTTCCTTATCAAAGTTCTTGTGTCTTACTCTTCTTATTTTGTGTCTAATTCCTATACAATAACACACAAATCAAAGCAACCAAGGCATTTTCAAGCAATGAAGCATATCATCTAAAACTTGAGTGATTCAATTTAATTAATCTACAAAAAGAATGGAAGATGCCAATATTTGATAGAGTAAATAACCAAAGTTTGACATCTAACAACCACTTAGATTCGATATAATTCTTCTCAAGAAATTTATTTTCCCCAACAACGATTGTAGATGCTTCTTTGTCGAAGGAGGTTGGAGATCCAAAATTGCCTTTGTTTTGTTTTGGTTGATCTTGATGCCCTTTTTGTGCACTATGAAAACCTAGAAAGTCTCCTGCGTGTACACATAAAGCACATTTTAGTGGATTCGTTTTTAATCCATATTTTTTCATTCTCTCGAAAGAGCGTCGAAGATGGTCCAAGTGACCATTCTCAGATGAGGACTTTATCACAATGTCATCAATGTATACCTGCATAAACTTTTCTATAAAATCATGGAACATATAATTCATAGCTCTTTGATAGGTTGCTCCGACGTCTTTTTAAACCAAACGACATCACAATCCATTTGTATGTTCCTAAAGCTCCTGGGCATATAAAAGTCGTTTTAGGTACATCATCTTTTGCTATGAAAATAGGGTTAAATCAGAATACCCATCAAGCATACTGAGGTATTTGAAACCTGCAGCTGAATCGACTAACATTTCTGCCGCTGCCAGAATACTCATCTTTTGGAGTTGCCTTGTTAAAGTCTCTAAAATCTATACAAACTCGAAGCATTCCCTTTTTCTTAATGACATGTACAATATTAGCTAACCACAAATCCGAGCACAAGGATTCAAGGATAGTCCGAGCATTAGACATATCAATAATGTTGACATACTTAGAAGAGAGATAGAGCACCTATTAGAATGCAACTACCTTTGAAGATATTCAATAAGCTTCTTCTGAGCTGGTGAAAGAGATTTTTAAACCTTGATCATCTCTACACCATCAACTTCTATAGTAATACCTTTCTCAAGGTTATTCTATAGACATTTATCAAAACCCTTTATCAAGACCAATGAGTTAAAAATATATTTTGCTTTTCCATCATTTAAATTCAGTAGAATTATCCTTTGAATATGGTAGAAAAAACAATATGATATTTTTAATGTGGTACTTGATTCATTCTTAAAGAAAAGTATTTAACAGACATACTTTTCTTATTGGATCATTATTTGCGTCACTGTTAAGTGTTAAGCACATACCATGCTCTGATACCAATTGAAGGTGGGAAAAGTACACAAGAAGGGGGGTTGAATTATGTTTTCCTTTTTCTTAATTTGCGCCTGGTCAAGACTCATAATCTAAACTGGTGTTCAGATTATGATTATACTTAGCAGCAGATGTTAACAGAAGCAAATAAATAATAGCAGAAGACACAAAGATTTATACGGGTTCCTCTCAACTAAGAGTAGTCTAGTCCCCTTGCTTCACAAGATATTTTCACTATAATCAAATCATGATTATAATCGCTTATGCATTCTGCATAAGTCTTTTACAGTGCTTAGACCCTAGGTCCAAGACTTCTTTTTTAAGTCCTACAGACTCAAGACTTATGCTCCAGGTTCCATGAAATGAGGCTTCCTGCTCAAACCCCTCAAGTCCGAGACAAACTGATTTGACAATGCAACTTGCTTTATGCAGTACGAACAACTTTAGCTTTATCACCAACTCTGAATGATACCAGAAGTTAATTTCCATTCATCAAGTGTAGAGACAATTATGTTGCTTCTTCTAATGCTGAGGCCTTCAACTTCAGAGTCTACGTCAGACATCATTTAACAAGTGTTCTTCAGATTCTATGCCACCAGAAACTAGCAATTCAACTTCTCTCAAGTGTGCCTTTGTATATCAGGTTCTGTATATAAATATTTACAAGTATTAGAACCTTCATACAAGAAACACACATCAAATATAACCATTCTTCTTTAAATAATTTGTTATCATCAAAACCCAAAGAATATATGTCATGAACGAATCTTGTTATAACAAAGTAAATTGTCGTTTCGTTGTGTGTGTGTGAAGTTGTATGGCTAATGAATATGTTGAAGGAGTTGGGAAGCGAAGAGGGTGACGATGTAATGCTCATGGTTGATAACGTTGTTAGTATAAACCTTGATATGATCCCAATTGCACATGGATGAGCAAGCATATTAAGATAAAATTTCACTATTTGAGAGAACTTGTAAATAAATGAAGGTTTAGATTGAGATATTGTAGAAGTGAAGATCAAGTGGCCGATTTGCTAACCAAAGTAGTCATAATTGAAGTGTTTAAGAGATTGAAGAAGAACATAGACATGAGAGACTTGAAAAACTTGAATTAAGGTAATGTGTTATAAAAATAACATTATTCAAACGTTGTACTCGGGTACTGCGTTTTGGTACCCGGGTTACCATTGTATTGAAAATTGGCTTTTAAAACAGTTGTACTGAGGTATTGCTTTTTTGTACCCGGATACCACTGTACTCAGGTTACCTTTCACTTTCACATTGTATTTCTAGCTTAAAACACCTCTTGAACCTAATCATTTGTTCTTGTTTTAGGTACATATGGGATGTAACAAAGATTAATTCTAAATAAGAATTTTGGCTTGGAGATAGCTTGAGCATTAGGACAAAACAGGTCTTCCCTAAAGTTCACTTTTTGTTGTCATTGTTTGCTTAACCATTTTTCATGTGTATCCTATAGACCTGTCTCTGAGGAGTATGAATAACATAGATGTTATGACTTGTTTTGATGATACTTTTATCGCTTTTGAATTTTCAATGTTCATGAATTTGTGTAGCCTTTGTTGTCATTGTTTGCTTAACCATTTTGTTTAGCCTTTATCTTGTGTCTAATCATGCTTCATCATTTTTCATGTGTGTGAGCTTGGAGGATCTGGATGAGAGTATGGTGATCATGGAAGAAAACTTGGCATGAAGCTGCTATTGAAGCTTGGTATGGAGACTTGTTGCAAAACACACTTGTTGCAAGATAAACTGGTAGTAGCATGGTGAGGCACACTTTGGAATGAAAGAAGATTTTCCTACTGTTTTGGTGTGATGGCCTGAACTCTAGTTGTTGAACACACCTTTTATTAATTTCATATTATCTTGTATATTATACTATGATTCTACACATGCCTTACCTTGGAACTTAGTATAGAATAGTGTGTCACCTTGTCTTATTTATCACACTTCACTTATATCTGCAGGTTCAATATTATTGGCAATGACTTAGAAACTAATGTGCAGCTTGATAAGGATGCAAGCAAGCTTCAAATTGATGTGGATCACTTTCAATGGATGCAAAAACTTGGACTTCACCAGTAACTGTAGCTATTTAACAAGGCTCCAATCGTTTTTTTCATTTGTAACCTCTTTTGCTATAATTAGCTAGAATAAAGTCCTGATATATGGAGCTTTTGTAAGTCTTTTATCAGCTATAATTTATTTGTAATGTTATGCTCTGTAAAAGAAATTATGCATAGAATTTATTTGTAATGTTATGCTCTGTAAAAGAACTTATACACTGCTTTAGGAGGATTAACTGATAAATATTGCAGAATGATAAGCTATTTGTGTGATTATCAAAAAAAAAAAAAACTTCTTAGGTCGGTTAATTATACCCGACTTAAGAAGTAAGTTCTTAGGTCGGGTATAAATGGTTTCTGCAGGCTAGACTTATTAAGTCGGGTTCTGCCTAACCGACCTAAGAAGTTGTTTCTTAAGTCAGGTCCACAACCGACTTAAGAAGTCAAAACTTCTTATGACGGTAATTCTTAGGTCGGGCTCGGACCCGACTTAAAAAGTCATTTTTAACCGACTTAAAAAGCCTTTTTTCCACTAGTGAATGTTATTATTTTGAAGCAAATTGGGTGCATTGTTGCCTAGCTGTAATTTACAGATCATGTTAACTAGTCATATGCACATTTCATTATTATAAGTCATTATTATTATTTGGAATAAGCCAACTGTTCCAGCCTTCAAGTTCAAACCAAACTTATCTACAAAATTAATAGCAAAAAAAAGCATTGTGTAATTAATTACCAACAGTCCCATATGCCACATTGTTGCATCTGCATCAGTACTATATTTGTCATCATAACTGTTAATGTATTACACAGTACTCAGAAATCAAATCAAATCTCAAAGATGTACTAGATTTTACAATTCACATAAGTAAACCATTTGTATTCATCAGAATAATAAAATAATAATGTACATATTAGTTATTTTTAGGGCACAAACACAATTTTTTTTATAAATTAAACATCATGAAAAATGACAATAATCACTATTAAAAAAAATGAATTTTAAAAAAAAAAAATTAAAGACAAAATAAATTTAATCTTTCATTCCGTCATTTTTATTTTTAGTGACAGAATTAGAGACATTTTTTTGTCAGTAACTTTTTATTTAAAATTCAATTTTTTTAATAGTCAATAGAAAATCGAAATCAATTGTATTGTTATTCTCGATTTTAATCTTTCTTCTTGGATCCAACGATTCCGTCGGTTCCTGCAAGCATAGCATACTTATCCTTCCTTGTTAAATTGGTACATTCAAATCCAAGAGTCCCTCCAAGAACCCTTTGAATATAATTTGCAACTTCGATCGAAGATTTCCCTCCATTGCAAGTCAACTCCAAAGGCAATTGATTCAAGAAAGTGATCTCATAAGTCGGCATAGGGTTCATGAACACAAAATAAGGATCCAACAATTTGTGTCCCCGAACCGATGTCCCATAAAACATACTTTGTTTTGTATTGATTGCCACAGGAACAATCCTATCCGTTAACTCAGCGAAAAGAGCACTAAACCTCAACAAAAACGGCTCTCTACAAGTCGTTCCTTCAGGACAAATCACTAAATCACCTTCTTCAAGTAATTTCTTTATATTCGCAGCGTCTCTGTCTCTCTCCCTTGTAAGCGCGACCGCTTTTATAGGCGAAATAATCTCAGTGAACTTACTTATACTATAAGTTACGCAACTTATTTTTCTTCCTAATGCAACTGCTGTAACAACTGGATCTAAAACTGTTCTATGGTTGCAAATAAATAGTACACCACTTTGTCCATTTTTTGGTGGTGGTGGAGGTGTTCCTTTTCTAATTACTCTTATTCCAAGTAACTTATAATTGTACCAAGCAATTTTTTCAGGTAAAGGTATGTTGAGATAGACCCTTAAGATTGAAAGTATGATCCCAATTGGCATCCATAGGAAGGTTAAGAGTGCAACTAGAGGGGTTGGTTTTTGGACTAATCTACCCTCATGAAAAATTATTGGGCTTAGAAGCTTGTTTCTTGGTAATGGCTCACATTTGGTCCTTGGCACCATGTAACCTTCCTGTAAAATGAAAAATATATAAACTCAGCATCTTTGTGATGATATATTTTTGCAGATTTAGATATATAGGAGGGACCAGTGCAAAGGTTGAGGCTATTAAATACTTGTTCCTAAATATAAATTTCTATTGCAAAATTTTCTATTTTATATTATGGAGAAAAAATACATAGTGTTTAATATGTTCATTTTATTTATCAACACTTAACATATCTTTTTATACATGTATATAATAAAGGACTTGATTTTTTTTATATGAAATTTGTGATTATATTTAGGACTCAAAGAGTATAGAAAAAGACATGATGCAAGATAAGAGAACAGTTTACAAGAAAAGACAAAAGAAAAGAGGAGGTGCAATGTTGAACAACATGTTATGTTCATTAAAATTCTCACCCAACATTGAAAAATTAGGGGCCAATCTTATTTATTAATCACCATGTTAGAGTACATGCTAGTTTTGTAGGGTAAAGAAACAGCTCATGAAAGTTATCCTCTTAATTGAGAAAGAAATTTGAAAAAGAGACATATACATATATATATATATATATATATATATATATATATATATATATATATATATATATATATATATATATATATATATATATATATATATATATAGACACACGCACGCGAGAACATATACGACATTGAACTGATTTAAATGGTTGAAATATCACAAATTTAAACTCATTGAATGTTATTGCAATACTATTATCTAATTTAGTTTAAGAGAATGATAAGTGATCTATTTAATTTAAATTATGTGATTTTTATCTTTAAATATTTTTTATAAAAATAAGATTTATTTAAAATTACTTGTTATTTTTAGAGTTAATTCTAATTTTGCTCTTTTATTATATTTTAAGATCACTTAGATTTGGTCTTTCATTTTATAATTTTAAAAAAAAAACAATGATACACATATGTTTTAAATGACATGCTAAATAATATATAATATTTAAAAGAATTAATTAATTATTTATCTTTAATTAAATTAATAATTTTTAAAATTGAAACTGAAGTTTGTAAGATATTTTTCTTGCAATTTCTTTGATACTAATTATTTTACATCATCATTAAGTTATATGTCATATTCTTATTCTTTTTTAGTATAAAAAAAATAGAGATCAAGTAAAACTAGATTTTAAAATAGAAGAAGTAGACAAAAATATAATTAAAATTTGTTTTTATTATTAACTTTTCTAAATATTAATTATTTAAAATTATAAAACTGTTTTATATAAAAAGAAAAAGTCAGAGATATACACCTCCATCCCCAAAAGAATATTTTAAGAATATTAACCTATAAAAAACAGACACATTAAATACACTAGTCAATTTTCCTAATTTTCTTGAAAATAATCCCATATACATAAATAACTAAACAAAACGATAAATAGACAGGTGTATATTTATATATTAGGTGAGGGAATTAAATTTCCTACAAAAATAAACATCAATGGCCCATACAACTTAACTTTTTCAACCATCCATTCTCAACTATACTATCTTATATTAATTAACAAACATAGTTATTTCTTTATATAAGATCAAAATAAGTCAAATTAGGGTCAACTAATTATGATTAATTAATTTTGAATATTAATCATTATCCATCTAATATTTAACTATCATTTTCCATCTCATGCAACATGAATGCAAAATTAGGTTACATAATTTGATGGATTAATTTGATGGATTAGTCTATGACAGTTTCATGCAGATATTAGTCTATGCGATTTCATGCGCAGAAATGATATATTAGTCTCAATAGTTTTACGTGCAGAGATATTCGATTTATATATTTTTCTTATAAAAAAAAAGTTTAACTAACCTTGCAAATTGACATGAAATCAGAGTCAGTTACACTGTCTCCAAGTCCCAAATCAGGCAAGTTGTTACTTCCAAATTCTTTCATAACTGCCTCTTTCTTGTGTTCACCAACAAGAACTCCAGGCTCCTTAACAAACCCTGTTGCTCTCCCTCTTTTTGTAACCATCAATTCAGTTCCAAGCACCTTATCAACTCCCAAAAACGTCTTAACAAAAGGCTCAACCATAATCCTCGGGCTCGCGGTAACAACATACCGTTTCCCGAACGAGTTAAACACGTTCCACGTCACCGGATGCACGTCCTCGGCGTAAAACCTAGGCAAAACCGACCGAGAAACAATCTCAACGTCTCTTATCCTTAGTCCCGCAAATGTGACAAATATCAATGTTTTGATCGCCAGCGTCTCGGAGACGAATAGGTACGTGAAGTATATGAACGGGACTAAGGATAAGAGAACTAACGCTCTTAGAATGCTTCCGGCCTCGAGTGCGACGAGCATGTAGTAGGGAAAGGCGCTCCGCGACACGAGAAGCGTGCCGTCTAAGTCGGATGCGACGGTTTGGTTTGATCTATCTTTTGTGCTACATTTGGAAATTGGTTGGAAACGAGGAAAGACTCCCATGACAAATTGAGGAAAGTTTTTTGAAGAAAATTTTGAGTTTTTGCTAAGATGTTTTGGGAGAGAAGATGGTTTTATGAGAGAGAGGGTGAAGGGGTTTTTAAAGGACTAAAGAAGTGTATGGTTGTGAATTGGTGAGCAATTTTGAGAAAGTAAATTTATAATTCAATGTAATATACTAATAATAATATGTGGTGCCAACTTTGAGAAATAAATGTGAAGTTTAATACTATAATATAATATATACTATATGAAGTTCCAATAAATATTTATAAAGTAAGAATGCAACTAGTATTCTATGAAATTGTGTATGAATAAGCTTTGCTTAATTATTTTTAACAACTTGAGACTTATCATAATTCTTTTTAATGAATAATATAACTTAAGAAATTAATTCTCATCATTCTTTTTGGCTTAAAAGTACTCCTAATTTTTTCAATTTAAATACTAATTTTCTCAGTTAAAATTAAAATATTAGTCCACTTCTTTTAGAAATTAGTTTTTAATCTTCAATTTTTTTTTAATTTTCCACATCATTCTCTTTTTTGAATCGTCTATGTTGATATGACGTATTAGTTCATTAATGACATAAATACAAATAATTAATATTTCAAAAAAGCAATGAGCTCAAAACAGTTATTATAATAATTGCAAAATGGAATGAGACTCATTGCTAAGTTAATTTTATATTTTGTTTCTCTTTAATTTTTTGTTTTATTTTAATATTTTGGTTAAATTATAGTTTGCTCCTTTTATTCTATCTAATTTACAAAATTAATTTTTTTATTTCAACTTCAAATAAATTGAGTTTTTTTTCTTCACAATAATATGTGGTAGATAAACATTTGATGTTTTCTATAAACAAAGATATAAAAACAGAGAAGACTTTAGTAGAATGAACATGTTAAAGGAGTAAAAGTAGTGTGTATTATTTTTGGCGTGTGAGATAGGGAATTAGTTGTTGAGAAGAAAATGTGATAGAAGTAGTTGAGAATATTCAATTTGAGCCTACTTTTTAGTTTATAGATGATGTCCTTTGCTGCCTAATAAAATCAAAGTTGAACGGTTTGCTTTTAAAGTTTGTGTTTTCTTCATTAATTTGGCTATCTAACTTTATTAGCCAATTTAGGCAATACTAAATGTGTAGATAGATTGCTTTCTTAGTGTAAAATATGTCTTTAGACAATGGTGTTGTTGTACGTACCTTGACAATTCAACACTTCTTTATTATGGTGGGATGACTTTGGTCATTTCAAATACATATTGCCTTTATTTAGATTTTAGATTTTTTTAGATGTTTAGCTTAGTTTTAGTTATTTTTAAAAGAATAGGATGCGGGAGATACCATCTTTTATATCTGATAGATTTTAAAACTCGGTCAACACTAATTACTAGAATAATTCGCAAAAATGTATGGTTTTCTTTTTGGAACTCAAGTGTCTTCCTCCTTTTATTATGGTGACTCTTTTGACAACTCTAGGAAGTTTTCATCTTCTTTTGGATCATATTGATCTTCTCAAAAGTTTGTTGTACAATCTCAGGTCCAATAACTACACTCTAGCCTTACTTATACCAAAACATAGGTGTCTTACACCTCATACCATACAAAGCCTCGAGCGGGGTCATTTCAATACTTGAATAAAAACTGTTATTATAAGTGAACTCAATTAACGACAAGTAGCTATCCCAAACACCTCACACACAAGCCCTTAACAGATCCCGCAAGGATTGAACAATCATTTATGTCTGAGCGTTCGTCTGCAGATGATAAACAAAACTCAATCTCAATTTAGTATCCATCACTTCCTGCAAATATTTCCAAAACCTCGATGTAAATCTCAAATCTCTATCTTACACAATACTCAATAAAATATCACAGATAATAACAATCTTTCGAGAAAAGACAACTCTACTAACTGATAAATATTTCAAATATAATATTTTCTATGCGTGATATGGGAAGTGCCAAGATTAAGGCGTGAGGCGGACATGTGTATTTTAAAATTAAATGTATATAAACCTAATTACATAATGTAGTTTCCATTAGATTTTAAAGACAAATAACATCAAATAATTAAGTTTTACAGACATTTCTCACTCTTATTTCTCTCTCGTGATGATTCCAACTCAATCATTGTAAATATATGAGTTCCACAACACATTGTTCATGTTTGGTATTACTATATGTAACTAATTTATTTAAGTTAAGATTAAAGATAAGATTTTAAAGCTATTTGAAGTATGTAATTTATGAAATCTAATTTACACAATTAATATTTATCATTATTAAGTTATTTTCTTGGGTAAAGTTAACATATAATAACAAATGAAATGTATTAATTCATATTTAATAAAATATTTAATAATAAAAAAAATATAGAATAATAAATGTAATTTAATAATCGATTTTGTCTGTACTATCCCATCAATTCAATTGTTTTTAAATTTCAATGATTAAATTCCAACCTGAACTTTGTTTATGATTATGTTTTTCTATCTCATTGGTCCTTATTTTTTATTTCCTCAACATAGATTTATACTGAGTATATTATTTTTACAGATTTTTCTTTTTATTGGGCAAATTCGGCAGATTTTGACATCTAGGATTTACATATATAACATATATTACGGTCAAGGTATAATATATTTTTTATTTATTATTTAGATTCAAAAATTATATTTCAAAATTCAAAATAAAATAAATAAGAGACTCGAAAAAACGGTTGGGTTGCGCCATACATATGAAAGAGTATATAATAACGATGTATTTGCCAAATCAAATATTATGGTAAAATTTAATAATGACTCATTCGGATTAATTGATAATATTAGTTGATGGATCTTTTGTAAAAAAGTTTTATTAACTCTTAAGTTATATCGAGTAGACCTTGATGTTGCTATAATTCAATTCTTAATTCATGTGTTGAGTAGATCGCCATTGAATTGGTTTTAAGAAATAATTCACTACAAGCCCTTAGTATTATAACTAAACATAGAATAAAAGTTAAATAGTAGTTTTGTTAGAGATATCAAATTATGAAGTGCGATAAGAAAATTTAATGATGTTAGTTGTTTCACCTAAGGGTGTGTTTGGTTCAGGGTAGATGGAGGGGAGGGGAGGGGAGGGAAAATTTTTAATTAAATATGTTTGGTTCAAATTTTAGGAGGGGAGGGGAGGGGAGCAAAATCCCTCCAAAACATACTTTTTGTTTCTCTCCGAATTGGGGGGATTTGGAGGAGAGGGGAGGAAATATGAGTTTTGATATTTAAAAATTATTATATTTACTAAAATATCCTCAGTTTAATTTTATTATTTTAAAACTATTTGTTATCTTTTGTGTTACTGTTTTTTCTCGATTGTTTTCATCATCTTATTATAATTGTTTTCCACCTTCAAATTATTTTATAATTTTTATAATTAATATAAATCATAATCATTGTCTTTTTTTTATATAAAAAATTATGTTTCGTTATATTCGTTTTTTTCTTTTAATATTGTTATGTACTCTATCATATTTTCTTTTATATCAAATTGTAAACCATATCATTTTATTTATTTTTGTTTATTCATTTTATTAAATATTTTGAACCATTAATATTTAGTAATAAGTTATTTTATATATTTGTTTTGTGATATGATTCATCACAATTTAAACGATGTTATTCGCATATAGTTTAATTTATGTTGAAAAGTTATAAGTCGAATCGATTGTACTCAATTTTTTTAATTTTATGTGACAAATAAATATTTTTTTAATCACTCAATATTATAAATTTTATTACCAACAAAAATACGCACGAATTTTTCACATTTTAATATCATATGACTTATATAAGATCATAAGGATAAAAATGTAAATTATTAATAAAACCCCTCCCCTCTCCTTCTGAACCAAACACATTTTTAATTAAAATTCCTCCCCTCCCCTCCCCTCCTCTCTTTTGAACCAAACACTTATTTGATTAAAAAATTCCTTCACCTCCTCTCCCTTTCATTAAAATCCATCTCCTCCCCTCCCCCTCATTTGAACCAAACAGACCCTAAAAGTTCAAGGTTTAATGATAGATAAATGATACCTTAAACTAATAAATTGGTCTTAGTCTTTCTTGTTAAATTATCATCATCATATGTTTATCAATAGTGGTTAAAATCTCTATTATCAAGTAGCAACAAATGATGGGATTTGAACAATCCTACTCGCTTTATATTATGATAAATTTTAATCAATTTACTTTGTATTGTAAATCAAATAAAGTTCCCAATTTTTTTTTAAGTATTTCTATAATTTATTAAGATATTAGATATAATTAAAGTTGAGTCATGTGATTTAAATTTAAAGCGTCGTATCCTAAATTTTGATAAATATTTAGCAGTCAGTTGGTCATCCCAATAACTTAAAAAGTCAAAGAAAAACTATTTTAACTTTATATCCTATTTACTATTTTTGAACGTAATAAGTTAGGATTTACCATTTTATTAAGGATTAACAGTTAATTCCTACTAATTTTACTACTTGATTGTTATTATTTCAGGGTCATATTATTTATATAAGGGGTGTTATTAAAATATTTTAAGGCTATTAATATTTTTAAACTAATTATTAGGATTATTATTAAATATTAAGGGATGGTTAATTTAAATTAACTATAATTTAGTTCTTATATTAAGTTTATTAATATTATTAGGTTGGCTTAATTATAATTTATTATTATTATTATTGTTAATTTCGTATTATGGGGAAGGGTTGTTTTTTAATCAAAATTAATTTGGATTATTATTTTATAATATTAGGTTATTATTATTTATTAAAATATTTATTATTTGGGGAGGGCGGTGGTTTTAATTTTAACTAGAATATTTCAAATATTAACATTATTTTGGTATTTATTAGAGTCATTATTATTATATTATTAATATTAAATATATTTAGGATTCACTAGATTATTACTATTATTCTGTAGTTTAACAAGTTATTTGTAGTCAAACTTGTCGACCAAACAAA